GGCCTGGTTGAGCTTATTAAAGAAAACGAGTAAATAAGTTTTGAGTTGATCGCGTGCAAACAAGAGTCTGCCAGAAAAGACGCCCGTTTTCCCGCGATCTATAATATGGATATTAATTATTCCGTGAATTGACACACGCGTATGAGTGTGTGAATGTGTGTGTGTGTGTTTTTTTCCTTCTTCCTCGATTGATTTCGTAGCGCGAGCCGTTGCGAAACACTCGAGCGCGCGATGTTACCGAAACGGTACCGACGGACGCGTCCCGTTGCATATTCATGAACCGATTGGATAACGCTCGGTTTCGTTGATTTCCTTGGGCTTCCGAAAGTTTCTAGCCCATCGTGCAGTTTGTCATGGTGTGTGACAGGAGCGTGCCGAGGCGAGCTAGTTTTTTATCCTTTTCATTTGCCACGGTCGCAGATGATCGTCCACGCTTCGCGAAACCGTCGACGCGGCCTTCGCGCGCGATGAGCCACCGAAAGATTCCGGTTTCGAATCATTAATTCCGAACGGGACTAGATCAGTGGTCGATACTCGACTCGATGCTTGTCACGCCTCGAATAATGGGTATATTAATGTTTTCTGAATCGAATTAACATAAACTCCGGGTACAACGGCGGAAACCGATGTTCGTCGAATAGACTAGAAACCGTAGAAAAATCAATGGATCTTCGAAAGTTCCGGTTATAAGAGGACTGTATTGTATTTATAGTACGAATGCACAAAGAACTGCGCGAAAATCGATAATTCCCCGGCAACTTATCAAAACACTCGTATCGTTCCCTAGAAAGGGTGAAACCGATCGAACGACCTTATCCTTCCTCAGCCGCGTCTTCCAGATCATCGGTGGCTTCACAGGTGTCCGGGGGGATCACGATCAACGGTGCGCGACACGAGCGGACCGTTTCGTCACGTGTCGAAGTGTGATCACGTTTCACGGGTGATTAAGGGTCGGTCCACACTGTCGATTTTCTCGACGTTTCGTCGGGAACAGTGGGACCTTGATTGTCCAATTTAACTAGCCAATTAACAGTCCGGGTAAATGGAGGCTCTAGAAGCTCTTCGAAGCTTTGAAATTTGTATATACGTGTTCTGAAGTATCGTCTAAGAGTCTGAGAGTCTAAGAGTCTAAGAGTCTAAGAGTCTAAACGGCTAAGAATCTACGAATCTAAAAATCTCAAAATCTAAAAATCTAAAAATCTAAGAATCTAAGAATCTGAGAATCTAAGAATCTGAGAATCTGAGAATCTGAGAATCTGAGAATCTAAGAGTGTAAGAATCTAAGAATCTAAGAATCTAAAAATCTAAAAACCTAAAAATCCAGAAATCTAGGAATCTAAGAATCTGAGAATCTAAGAATCTGAGAATCTAAGAATCTAAGAATCTAAGAATCTAAGAATCTAAGAATCTAAGAATCTAAGAATCTAAGAATCTAAGAATCTAAGAATCTAAAAATCTAAGAATCTAAAAACCTAAAAACCCAGAAATCAAAGAATCCGAACTACAAACTTTTCAAACGCCAAGGACTCTAAAAAGCTCGAAATCACGAAGAGCAGTATCCCATAATCCAGCGTATCCTCGAATCACCCATAAACGCGCGCGTTCACGCCGTGAATCCCAGCTCGATCTCGCCGCATCTCCGTTCATCGGAGGCAACGAACAATGAAAGCGCATCGGGTGAAGTGTGAGCGAGAGCCGATAGTGTGGATCGAGCTTAACTGGGGCGACGTCGGTTTACGCCTCCGCACTGCCACGCGTGCCACCAGTCATCGGGCCCTGCGGCTGCTGGGTGAGCGCCGGCGGCGCAGCGAGGGGTTGGAGCTCTCCCGAGTGATGCATGAATGAAGGCTGCAGAGGTGGTGGTGCCGGGGGCGAGCGGGGGCGGCGTCGACACCCCTCGACGCGGCGGATCGTGGCTCTGTCCCGCTCGCTCTTCCGTTTCGCCGGCCGGCCAGCTTTCATCCCTCCTCTTCCGCCCTCGCGCAGCCCCTGTTTCCCACGCAGTCGTCGTTTCCTCGGTGTGCCACGTACACACATGCACCGAACGACGCGGTGAACCTGATATGGCGCAGTCAGCACGGCAGGGGCGAACCGTGACGTACTTACCGGTACGGATTCCAGAAGATGCGGTTAATTGCCAGTATTTCCAGACCCGTGACCCCGGAGGAACACCAGCGGGACACGCGTGCGTTTTGTCACGCGACCGTGCGTCAGTAAGACGCGTCCATTGACGGACGTTCGTCGGGAGACATAATCCGTAGGCTGTAATTAGAAGTGTGCAGCCGATGCTGTAACCCGTAATGCCGTCGTTACGTGATTTCGAGCGCGTGGTCGACGAGGAATGTTCGGCCACTCGAGAATGGAATTTTAGCATTGATTCGATGAGTTTTCATTTTCCGTCGGTCGCGATCGTTAAGCTACTCGTTGATTAGGTGCATCCCGATTCCGTATGAACCTTCTAGAGCTTAGATTTATGATGCGATTCCTGATTAGATCTGACTTCTCTTGCGAGGTATATGAATGATTCATAGTAACGTTAGGAGTATAAGTTATAATTTCCAAAATAAACAGACGCCTCGGTGAATCGGCGAACGTGATAATACGAGGAAGACGTCAGAAGCCGGAGCGTCTAGTTAGACGGTTTTAATTAAACAGGCCATGTGCCAGCGACGGTAACAGTAGCGGCGCGGGTTATATTGAATTTCGAGACGCCCAAGTATTCGCGAGCGTAACCCTTAATGGCTCATAATCCGCGCGGCGCAAGCCGATAGTTGCGCGGCCTATTAACAGGCCGAGCTCCGTCGAAGGCGTCGTACCCGTTCGATCATGAATTAAACGCGGGGCCCTTCGAGAGCCTATCGATCCTACCCGTTCCACCCGGACGGCGGCTCTCCATTGTGTAATACTAATAATAGAAATTGATTTACGAGACAGCGAATCTGTCATTAAACCCGAGACGGGATCGTAGCAGGAATGAAGAAAGGCTACATCCCTGGAATGCTTCTAGAGTACCGCCCACGGGTGACTGGTTAACACACCTGTAACAAAAGCTCGATACGACGACGCTGACGAAACTACACTGTCTCTCAACTTGTCAGGCTTAATCGCGCAATTGTCCGGCAACATAAATCCGCCGAATTATGTAATTTCGCGTTACGATACCAGCGCGTGTTTATACCGGACGCGTTGACAGGCTGTCCGCCTAGCTAGCCGGCATTTGCATACCGATTCTATTCGAGCATCTAAAGCCGGACACCCGTTTTATGCGAGTTTATTTCGGAATTTCATTGTTTTCCCAGTATCCGCGAACTGCGGGAGCACGTCGTTCGTTCGGTTCCCTTTCATTTCTTATTAATCTTCGACAAAACAGCGTTATAAAAGGTGCTCCGAATAAAATTTTCATCGCGCCGGAGAGCGTATTATCGCGGAATATAGCCTTCTAAATAATAAAGCTGTCACTCTTCCTATATTACACTTTATTTAATCGAGTAGAGATTATGAAGACTGACAGTATGCACGGGTCATTCTAAATCGAAATGCGATGCGGTCAGTTTTTATACACATACTTCAGTGGAATCGGGCATTACTTCGTTCCATGAGTTTCTTCCCAATTCGAACACGGCTCCTTGGGACAAGATTACGGACGTTAGCAGGACCCAGTTTCCTAAAAAAAAAATACCGTGTAACGATTACGCGAATCGCCGTTATATTACCCCGCCAGATGATCTCCGAAGGAACGAGAAAGAAATCTCACCGAAGCAAGATCCATTTTACAGGAGTACCGGCCAGGACGCGAATCCCGTGGGTCCACGTAAAAAGAAGAGGCGCCTGTTTATTTACGGTTCATCGATAATTTAGCATCGATCGCCGCCGCCGGTCGGCTAGGCTGCTTAAGCCCGAGAACGTTCGGTGCGCGCGCGAGCGAGCCCCACGGAAACGGGCCAAAAGATCGACGAACAGAGAAGGTAACAGAAGATGAAAATAATCCCGGGGCGTAACGAGGAACGCTCTGCCAGACGGACAGAGAGAAAGAGAGACGGGAGAGGACGATCAAGACCGACGAAGAACAACTCTTCGTTGATAAAAAGTTGGCACTCGGGACAACAAGGGGTTCTCTTCGTGCGCTTTGTTTATTTCCACCGTCACGCAAGCGGATTATCGTACGCGACGATTGCGACGAATAGCACGGCACGGTGAGCGACACGTGTGAAAGTAGGCGTGTTGTCTTCAACTCCGGCCAATCTCGTTCCACCCGACTTCCTTCTTTTCGTCAACTGTACACCGATCGGTCTCCAAGGGTACGTTTACAGCGAAGTCGCGGTAACGGCGAAAAGATCATCGATCGTACCGATAAAATATCTTTCCTCGATGGTAAAGAAGAATTATCACCATCCCCAAGTTCCGTGAAGTGGTAATTACGAAAAAAACCACGCCGTAAACGTAAATGCTGCTGCATTCCAATTACCGAAGGAAGCTTTACGAGACGTTTCAAAGTAAACGCTTCCGTTATAAAACAACAGCACTTCTGCGCTATCGTCCGCTGTAAACGTACCCTAAGAATAAGGATAAGAAGAAGAAGAAGATGGAGGAGGAGGAGAAGAAGAAGAAGAAGAAGAATAGGAAGTAGAAAAAGAAAAGCGTCATGAACGGTGGTCCGCGTGCCGCCGTTGGGTCGGGTTGGCTTTGCGTGGGGTTGCTTCTCCCGTTGGATCGCTGGACGTGGTGGGGCAGAGGGAGGAGGGGGAGCAGCGGGTGACCGGTGGGTGGTGTGTTGACGTCACCGTAGCGGCGTCATCGTCCGCGTGGGCCAATCGGGGAACCGCTCGCGGTGAGCCAGGTCCATCGATCCGCCGGCTGCTGTCGTGTGTCCCGGGTTATGACGTCCAGGTGACGTCATCGTTAGCGCCGTTCGCCGTTCGCCGCTACCACCGCCGCCGCCGCCTGCCGCCTGCCGCCGTCGCTACACACGCTACGGTTTTAATATAGCGGAGGAACGCGCGCGATCCGGACTCAGTTACGCGGCGGCCGGCCACCCGTGCGAGAGCGTGTCCGCTTTCTTGCAAAACGGTTCGTGCTGTTTTTCCTCTCTCTCTCTCTTTCTCTTTCCGATCTAAACTATCGTTCTTTCTCCGCAACGTGTTACCGACTCGCGGCGAATCCGGTGTTCCGAACCCGCGGTTCGTTCGGACGCTCGTTTTCCTTTTCCATTTTCCGCCGTCCGTTCGACCGTCCGGCGTTCCCCGGTCCCTCCGGTCGGAGGTCGACCAGCGGATCGTGAGAAAAACGCGCGGTACCAGTGACGAGGACAACTTATTCCTTCTGTTTTGGGATTACGGCCGCGCGCACGAGCAGGAAGAAGACCGGTGGTGCAGCCAAGGACGTTTGTGTTTGAGTTTCGCGTGACCAGCGCGCGAGAGAGAGGGAGTCCGGCGCGCTACGGAATCGCGTGGTTCCGCGTACGGGACTCTGTGTGACCCGCGTGATCTCGCCGATCCTTTGAATCGGAGCGGACAGTCCGCGCGGAGCCTCTGTTAACCGAGACACACCGCGACCGGTGCGTATCGTCAGCCGTCGAAGAGGATTCCTTGAAATATCGCCGACACCGAAGAGGATCCTATCTACGTGTTGCAAGAGGATCCGCTGCATCGTCAGCGATTCGTTCACACAAGTCCGACTTCCTGGATACACTCGTAGCGAGCGACAACTTCAACAGTGGAAACAATGTCGACCACGGTGACGGAGGAACGATAAGTCGGCGGTTTAGTGAAGGACTGACCAAGAATCTGCATGCGAGTGCCCAGGGCAGAGGTGTTTGGGCTCCTCGATGGGGCGCTGACCTCCGAAGACGTCCGGAAGGATTCGTCTAGCCCTACGACGACGCACACAGGTCGGTGATCCTCCCACGTGTGTC